TTACACAATATTAAATGATAGAGCCAATACTACTACTACTACTGAACGCTAAGTTGATACAATACATACATTACAATAAAACTATATACAACTATCAGACATGACACTAGGATTTTGTGTTGTGTGATACCCTATTATGTATGTAGCAAATTGTGTACCGAGTCAACTTACTCACTCTTATCATTATTATTATTATCATTACAATTAGTAATATTTTAGTTACATTTAACAAACTATTATTACTGAAGGCAATATTTATTTATTTTTTTTAAGACACGTTAAAAAAGGCTTTCATCAAGAGAGATACTAAATTGTTACAAAACTAAGATTTATTGATTTGCAAAATAAAACAATGATAATTACAGGAATGATTTGGTTCTTTTTTTGATTGGACACTAGTCAGTAACTAGTGGAATGTGTCTAGTCCTACCTTTAGTGCAGACTGAATTCTATCAATCAAGTTTGCAATGTGGCGAGCCACCTAGCATGGTGGCCAGTCAAAAATATCCAGTAAAGTCCCAACAGGAGGTCAATCGGGAGCTCCAATTGCTCAGTGATGGTAACGTCTCTGACTGTCTATAGCGCTTACTCGGATGATGCGGGTTTGAATCTTTTCAGGGCAGGGATATGAGGTTCTATTCCTTCAAGGTTGCAGATACGCCTTGCTGACTAACTGACTGACTGATGAGTGCCAACTAGCACGAAACCTACTAGGTCAGTCAGGCCAAGGCTTCCTGTTGTAGCCGATTGCCTCCAACCATTTAATACCAATGATTGGGTTCATTTTGATATTTGTGTATTCGTTGTTTTTGCTTTAGGCTTTGTGCGTCGGTGACACAGTGGTTAGGACACTCGCCGACCATGGAAAAACATGGTCCGGGGTTCGATCCCCTGCCGACGCATACCCGATGTCAATTGTCGGCCTGCAAAATTTGGGCTACCGATATCACATGCTGAAAATTCCATACTTGTAACAAAAATACTGTGTGGTTTCAAGCTATAACCAAAACGGAGTTACGGGATTTAAGGAGGACTCGACTCGCTTTACAGTAGATTTTGTCGTGAAATGACAACAAAACAACATAGAAAACCATCGAAAACTAAAGAGCAATGGACAGATGATACTTAGTCTTGATTCTGAGCTAGTTAACAGTGTGTTTGTGTGTGTGCACCGACAGTCGTTATTTCATATCACAAGGTAAAGTCATTAATATTTAATCACTGGGTCAGGAACCAACACAGTTCATGAATTTCAAGTTGTGTCAATTTCCAACATTTTTAAATATATTCCCATTTTTAATATTAGAACAAGCCATATAAGCCAACAATATTGTTGTTTTCAGTTAGATCTCCTTCAGGCTTTACTCTAATTTACATAGATTTATATATAAAATTGTTGAATCAAATGACGGTGATTTTGTGGATCAAATAATAATAATAATAATAATCAGTTAGGGAACCGCTGGACAGCTGCTGTTTCATCCTAGTTTGGGAATCATCGGCAGTATGCACCCACTGGGATTCGAACCCAGGACCTTCCGGTTACAAGGCAAGCTCGTATACCATTCAGTCACTGGGACCCGATTCAATGGCGAGCATCAGATTAATTTTCTAAAGTTTGGTTTGTAAGGGTTCCTTATGTTTTTACGAGTTGATCACGGACTGATATCAGTTAGAGAACCATTGAAAACCAGGGAGTACTGCACAGCTGCTGTTTCATCCTAGTTTGGGAATTATCGGCAGTACACACCCACCCAGGATGGAGTTTCCTGGAGCTCTAGTGAGAAGTCGTGACCAGTGAGGTCCAATTAGATGTCACGTGTGTGGATGGATCTCCCACCAACGACAATGGTTGGGGTCGCGCTAAATCACGAATTGGTAGAATTTAGAATTCATGAGCCATTGAATCGGGTTCCAGTGGCTGAATGGTATACGAGCTTGCCTTGTAACCGGAAGGTCCTGGGTCGAATCCCAGTGGGTGCGTACTGCCGGTGATTCCCAAACTAGGATGAAACAGCAGCTGTCCAGTACTCCCTGGTTTTCAATGGTTCTCTAACTGATATCAGTCCGTGATCAACTCGTAAAAACATAACAAACCCTTACAAACCAAACTTTAGAAAATAATAATGTGGTAAAAGTTATCTATCGCATTCCATTGAGCCTTTCGAACGGAATCAGATCCCGTCTTTTACACTTAGCCGAAGCTATGGGAATTCATTCGAGAGAACAATCCTAGTCTTTGCAAACAAAAGAAGTTTGTTCTACCTTTGTCTCTCCCTTGCTTCACCTAGGTGAATTCTATTCAAAACCCTCCCACCCTTTCTTATTTTCCATCTCCGTACTTTTGTTATATTTATTTAAACTCTGATTATCTGTCCACTTCACCTTTTAAGATTTGACCTTATTTATTTATTGAATTGTCTACATATACATATACTACTACCTTTGTTATTCTTATCGCCACCTGCATAAACTTTATTATCAATATTTTGTTATCATTACAATCATCGTTATTAATTACGTTCAAAACTTTTACCACATTATTATTATTATTTCATCCACAAAATCACCGTCATTGGTTAAAATTTTTTATATATAAATCTATGTAAATTAGAGTAAAGCCTGAAGAAGATCTAATTGAAAACAACAATATTGTTGGCTTATATGTCTTGTTCCAATCTCCAACATAACGCAACTGCTACCTAACAATTCATGGGCCAATGGATCGCTAGCCAGTAATTGAGTGGTTTACATATTTGTAATCGGAAAGGCCTGGGTTCAACGCCGCGGTGGGTGCGTATTGATGAGGAGTGTCGAAGTGGGACGAGACAAGCTGTCCAGTACTCCTTGGCGATTTTTCAGTGGTTCTCTGACTGGTGTCAACTCGTGATGAAACCTGTAATCTAAACAAATGCACAAGAATTGTTTAGCTAAGTGACGAATCCCTAGGATGCATCAATGTTTAGTGCTAAGGATTTACGTCTCTCTGTTTTCGACATAGAACTTTGCACCGATGTGCAGCAGTTCAAGTAGCCACACTCCATGTAGCACACAAAGAAAGAGAAGAAAGTAGAAGAAATGCATAATATAGACAGTAAACAGAGGTGAGAGACAAAGGAATAGTAATAACGAAGAACGATATATTTTCATTGGAAATCATAAGTCACAAGGAGTGGATGCATCTGCGCCAGCCATTGAGAACGATTTTGAGCCATGTCACCAATTGTTTCCAACCATTGGTTTTTACCGTCCCGAGGAACCCAACCAGGAAGTCTACACCTTCCTACGTGGCTTAAACTAACTGTTGTAGATTTCATTGACTGGTGCCATCTTTTGGTTTGACCGCTACTAGCTCTTTTCCAGCCTGACCCTATATCAGCTAACATTGCCCGTCGAGGAAGGCGATGACTAGGCATACGTAACACATGTCCTAACCATTTCAGTCGATGTAATTTCACAGCCTCGTCTATTGATTTCCTCGCCTTACCTAGCACTCGACGCCTAACCTCAATATTGCTCACCTTATTATACTACTTCACGAAGGAGATAGAACGCAAACACCTATGATCAAAGACAGCTGGTCCTTTCATGTCTTGCGCTCTCAATGGCCAGGTCTCACAGCCATAAAGGAGGACAAAGTGGAATGATGAGCAGTACACGCGCCCTTTGGTCGATAGTCGGATATCACGTCTACGCCAGATACGGCGTAAACTGGGATATGCAAAACTAGCCCTCTGTATTCGTGTTGAGATTTCGTCAGAGATCAACCCGTTGGGGCTGATGGTACTTCTCAAGTAAGTGAAGCGGTCAACGTGCTCTACCACTTCACTTCCTATTTATAATCTAGGGGTCGGTGTAGTCCAGTCCTGCAACATCACCTTACATTTTACAGGGGCGAATCGCATGCCAAACATACGAAGATTGCTGCTTGGCATGCGATTCGCTCTGTCTTCGGACAGAGTATTTGTGAGTCGGTGGCACAGCGGTTAGCACGCTCGCCGACCACGCACACGGTCCGAGGTTCAATCCTTGACCGACGCACACCTGATATCAACAGTCAGCCTGCTAAATTTGGGCTGAAAATTACATACTTGTACCAAAAATACTGTGTAGAATCAAGCTATAATAAAATAACGAATAAAATAAACCAACACCAACAACAACAACCATAAATCACCATCAACGGGAGAGATTTGACAGTGGTTACTTCCTTCACTTATCTAGGCATCCAGCACGGTTTCAACCACATGCAGTCAGAATGGATGAAGATGTCAAAACCAGACAGACAGAATCGGAAAGGCAAGATACGGCTTCATCAACCTGAAACCAGTTTGGAAATCTTCTGCACTGCATTCAACCAGCATAAAGAACAAGATTCGGATTTTCAACACAAATGTGAAGTCAGTCAGTCAGTTCTTCTATGCGGGTCAGAAACTAGGCGCATGTCGAAAAGCTTTTCCAACAGACTTTTATCAACAGTGCACCATACTGAAGACCGAATGGACAGAAAGAATTAGATATAAGAAACTATGGGAAAAATCTAACCAGGAGCCTATCGTTCGAAGGATATGTAGGGCAAAATGGAGATGGATTGGGCATACACTGAGGAAACCGTCGAATGACATCGCGCGTAATCCAGGCCATCGATCAAGTGGAATTCCAATAGGAAGCAATGAGTGGGTCTGTGGTGCGAGGGTGACATGGAGGAGATAGTGTGAGGAAGAGATGAGAGAGTTTGGTTAATTGTGGACCCGGCTGAAGAGGACGGCAGAAAATAGAACAAAGTGGAGATGTGTTGTTGAAGCCGTATGTTTCACTCGGAACCCAAGGGAATAATAATAATAATAAATAATAAATGCTGTCAAAAGTGTTCTCTAAGTAGAAAAGAAAGTGGATTTCAGGAAAAAAGCTCTCATTCTACTCTCACACAGGGTGAGAAGATAAGATCTATATAATCAGCCTTTATGTCTCCCAAAAACATATTTTCTATTAAAACATACCATTAGGAAGATCTTGTTTATTTGCAAACACCAGGACAACAGCATCTTCCATTTCTCTATCATTAGCTATCCGATGTAATTGTTGCCTGGCTTCTTCTATTCTATCTCGATCTGAACTATCCACAACAAATATAAGACCTTGACTTCCAGTGAAATAATGACGCCATAATGGTCTGATTTTCTCTTGACCACCAACATCCTATGGAGGGGAAAAATAAAGAAAAGAAAAGAAAAGAAATAAGGAGTGATTGAACGGCTCAACACAACCTACCCAAACATTAAATTTTACATTCCCATAAGTTACAGTCTCGACATTGAAACCAACTGTAGGAATGGTGCTGACACTTGATCCAAGCTTTAATCGGTAAAGGATCGCTGTGATTATTCAAAAAAAATAAAATTAAAATATAAATACTTGTTTTCCCAGCGGCGTCAAGGCCTAGCATAAGAATACGCATCTCTTTACTTCCAAAAAGCTTAGAAAATAGTTTGCCCATTTCGGAAGTTGTTGACCTCCAAAGGCACTATAAATACAAACAAAACAAAAAAAGAAAAGAGAATCAGACAAAAGTTAGGAACAGCATTAGCTGAATATCCCTTTAATCAATATTCAATAATTAATCTACTGAAATTAATGGTGTTCTCTGAGCTGGTTGGTTTGGTTGCAGAGCTTTCGTCGTCCTTCTGGACAACATCTTCAGCGCAATATTTCACTTTATGCTAAATATTGCGCTGAAGATGTTGTCCAGCAGGAAGACGACGAAAGCTCTGCAACCAAACCAACCAGCTCAGAGAACACTATTAATTGCAAATCATCCACCTGAGCTACAAATCTTCTCTATTATTTCAATATACTGTAAACCAAGCAACTTGAACCAACTGAAAAACATCGGACAATCTCGTATCGATCTAGACAATTGAAACATCCTAGCACATTCTAGCATTGAAGACAGGAAGTTTGAGGTTTTAAAACTTGAAAAATTATAGGGAAGAAAAATCAACAGAAGCAATAAAGTAGAATAAATGATTTTGAAAAACAAAATAATGAACACACTGACAAGACGTGAATATTCAAGTATTGGTTTTTGTCGGGATTTTGATTGATTGGTTACAGAATTTCATCATGAGCTGACATTGGTTAGAGAACCATTGGAAAACCAACCAGGGAGTACTGGACAGCTGTTTCGTCCTCTTTTGAGACTTTTCATCAGTACGCACCCCACATGAATACATTTGCAGCATTGTAAAGAATTTTGAACTATGTCACAAAGAACTTCCAATCACTGATGCCTATCATTTTGAGGAAACCACCTACGCAGTTTACACGCTTTTGTATGTGGTTCAGAAAAAGAGTCAATAACTTTGTAGATTGATGAGCAACTGAGCGAAGACATGCAAAATTTTTAATTGTTTAAGTCCACTTATTTTCCAACCTCAAAGTGGGAGTCCGTAGCGACTTACATATGACAGAGTTGGACGGCATGTCAAACATACTCAAATACTAATGCAAGGTTTCCTATTCTATGGGCGTCTTCGTCCAGAAAGACCAGAAATCAGCGACAATCTTCCCTGTTAGCAAGAGAATACCAGGAAATCACAGTCGAGGCGTGTCTCATTGGCTGAAGCAGTCGACTTCCAGCCTATTAGTCTACAGTTTGAATCCCTCTACGACTACTTCAGCTAGGACAACTGGTTAATATCAACAGTCCTCACAAATTAGTTGTGGCTTATCGCCAGATGCATGAAAAATCAACTCCAAGTAGCTGCATTCCAAAAACACCAAAGCCAACCAGAGCCACCTTGACTAGTATTTCAATAAAAAATGTCATTAAAATGGTGACGGATAACAAATCTCCATAGACGATCACGTGAATTTGCGTAGAGTGTATTGACTGGTATAATATGTTTCTTTAGAATTTACTTCACACCCAAACTTAGCTAAGGCATTTATCGATAAGTGACATTCGGATGAAGAAATACAGCAAATGTTGGATGCTGATTAGTATGCTTGTGTCCAAAAGTCTGGCGAGTGGTGAAAATATGAACACATCCTCGTTAGAGCCTAAAGTTTTTACGGGTCGTTTTCTCCCGAACACCATTCAGTCTACACATGAATATCGAAAGTGGAATTTTAGATATTATGTTAATCAAGCTAATCCCCTCTTTAATTACCACAGGAAGGTGTTTGCTTTCTTATAAACTAGGATGATCAGTGATCTAAAACAGCTTGGTGGAACCGCCTCGAAATTCCATACACCAGCTAGTACATTAACTAGTGTACCTATCCTTAAATATCAATGAAGTCATTTGATCAGATCCTGTTGTTTTGCTTGTTCCCAGCTTCAGTGATCTATGCCACATTTAAACAATCAGCGTCTACATTTCACTTTGGCTGAGGCAGAATGATAGTCAACTAGAGTGTAGCTGTAGGCTAATTAAACTGTTCTGCCAACTGTTAAAGACATCACCTCTGAGGTATCATGGTCCCAATCTCAGGGGGACCGTCCCACTTACAAAGCTGTTTTACTGTTGGTTTTCTTAATAAGCTTAAATACCTGATGGATTTTAATTATTATCTCCTATTTAATTCGATTTTAAGTCCCCAATACTATTCGCAGTACCTGCGAACTCTTAGTTATCTTACTTTTGAGCATATTTAGCTTCTTGTGGTGTTCGGAGTCCCTTAGGACCAGTGTCTTTACATCTATCTGCAGAAATCCACTGGCGTTTACCAACAACTACCTGCAGATCGTCAAAAGCTTTTACTTCTGTTTCTGTGGTACACTGGATATATAGCGAGGCCTCCTCGGGATGGGTATTGTTGTTACGCCCAAATATATGAAAATCTCCCCCCCCCGGATATAGAATTCGTTTTCATGGAGAATCTAGACACGTAAAGGTTTTACAGTTGCCTGTCCTTATCATCCCTTCAGTCGCAAACAACTACTGTGTGATCGGTCTTCAAAGTTGTTCAAGAAAGACGAGACTTTTAGCAACACTGAGCATCGGTGACTGACGGCTAGGTGTCCAACGTTGATTTAATGTTGGCGGTCACCAAGTTTGGAAATGACTATTTGTGTTGGAGACTAGTGCTAGTCAGACACATGTAGTTATCTGAAGAAGATTGTCAAAGAAGACCATAGTTGTCAGCTCATAGATGACATTATATAGACAACTCTAAAGTACTTCAGCAGGGCCTCCAGTTGACTACTTGAACATATATCTATGCATCTGGCTTGTGACAGTAAACTAGATACCTTCTGCTACGTTACAGAGGCAGAGATTCTGGAAAGGCGTCGGCAAGTATCATGGTCGTTTCTTATTCCTACGAACCTATTCAACCAGACAGCAGAAAAACGACCGTTCACCGGGATCCAGCCGACCATTAATTGTTTTGCTTTTAGGCCTAGGGATATCCTTGCACCAGCAAGTCTACGAATGTAAACCGAAGGATTTTCTAACACCTGTAGGATGAATTCTGCAAACTTGTCACGTTGCTACATGAATTATATGACTATAAAAATGTAGATATATAAAGGTGGAAAAGCAGATTCAACCAAAACAGACGTCGTGAGAAGCAAAAGATAAGTTAAGTAAATAGAGGAGCAAAATACTTTCTTTAGAATTTGCTATCACATTTCTTTCTGATAAATATAACACGCATGTCAAATCACCAAGCCCAACTCGCGCAAATAGTTAGTAACTTAGTAGATAATTTAAACATCGAAACGAACTTTGTACCACATTAGCTTCAAGAAACGTAGCATACAGCAATGCAACTCAACTGTTTGGTGCTGAATTGTAGACTACATTTTATGTGTGGGCATATGACACTATCTGGTGATCCAGTTACAAAGTGGAGGAGCGCTCCAACTCGGGACTCATTGCTTAGAGACAGAGTAATTAAACCAATGAGATAAATTTTAAGAATTAACGCGGCTCAATAGTTTAGGCATTCGATTTGCAGAAAACACCCACTCTACCTATGAAAATCTAAGCATCCAAGTATTGACAGTAACCCTCAGACAAAAGGTGTAGCTCAGTGCCAAAATTTTCTGGTTTCAGCATCTCATTTCACCTCCCCATACACTATTATGCATTCACAGACTTAAGATTTTAGGTGGTTTTTTTATCTTAGGGAACTGAGACGAAATCCAGGAAGTCAGTGTTACAGGAACTGCATCGCTAACTTTATCCACTTGCTGTCATTTCTATTATGACTAATTCATGAATTACTTATATAATTTACTCCGCATTTCTTAAGTTTTCTATAAGGACTTTGATTTTTCTCCCTGAGTATTAGCTTTTATAAAAATTGGAGAATTTCCATAGAAGCAAGCACAAAGAAGTAGACTGAACTAGACTACTGAAAAACCCTGCAGTTAAAGATGAGACAAATAAAAACTAGAAACATCCGAAAATAAGGAAATATGACACTACTGCTCTGACAAGTATGGATCGCTAGTAACTTACATTTCGACAAAAACAACCCATTTCTAAAAATATGAAATTTAGGTATAAGGGTGATTCAAATGGAGTATATTTGGAACCACCTTAGGGTATAAAGGCTCTTGGATATTAAGAGGACAGATATCTTAATCATCAGGCAAGCAATGTCAATAATTAAAATGGATTGTTTGTTTTGTTAGTTGCACCGATTATGAGGTAATTTCGTTCGTGTGGTCTCACTATCCCCATGAACAGTCTAACAGGGGGAATTTCGAACACCTGATAGCTGTTAATGAACTATAATTTGCGACAACTAGCAAGAATTATAAAATGTGGGAATTCTTTGTTAGTACTCATGTCCTATAAGTGTTGGTACATGTCAGAGACCCTGGATATTAAAGAACTTTGAAAAGCTCCAGAGAATAATCTCAGGGAAAAATAGGTGTGCCTAATGAAAGATGGAAAACTACTACGAGACCCGAGTATCTTCGAAAAATACACCGCTCTATCAAATGTAGTATGCATCCTTTCACTTGACCTGATAAGGTCACGAAAAAACATCATTTCTACCAGTGGTCTGAGAAATTAAAATTTGACTCAAAAACCCTCCCTATTACTATTAAGGTTTTAACCGTGAAAGAGAAATGGACAAAAAGTACACAAATGTATTTAATGTATATACATTTTTACTTCCACACAAACCCTTCCTTCTCATAAGATTTTTGAAAAAGGTGCTCATAAAAAATAAATTCCTACATGTTGAGTTTTTACTGCTCCATGTTGATAAAAACTATGTGACCTTTTAATTAGGAAACGTACAATTTACAAGTACCAAGCCAACACACTTTAATTCGGGCGGACTTACAACATCCAAATCACCCGGTAGGATGATTCAGTGATTCAATGTATGAATGAGATTCAGATTTCAGGTTCAGATTTATTGGTTGAGGATAGAAGGTTTGGAGCCTGTGTAAATACTTTTCTACTAAATTTCTGTGCTTCCCCAAAACTTTATTGAATGAATCAGTTGAGGTTGCAGACAACACTT